ATTTGTGTTTAAAATAGTGCCTGCAAGCGAAATATCTTTTATTTACTATCTGAAAACTAAACTTTCATTCACCCACAGCAAATAAGCCTTCTTATAATTTCTTATGATTTTATATATGATTTTGAAAGGTATCATACGTATGGCGAAATATGTTTTTGTTTGCTTCAATTGCTATATGTAGTAGGAAACCATATGTTTTTTAAATTTATATATCTCAGATAGCAAACCAAACAAATACTTAGGAATGAAAACATATATATATATATATATATATATATATGAGAAAATACTTTCTCAAATTGTATTAAATCAATACTTTGTAATTTCTACAAATTAATAAAAATTAAGTTTAATATATTTTTTATTAAAAATATTAATGTATATTATTAATAATAATTATAATTATCCAACTGAGAGCTATTAAATTTCAATTGAAATTTTTCTAACATATCATTTGTTATACTGCTATATGAATTATTTCTTTTTACATTCGCACACAAGAGAAAAAAAGAACGCCAAGGAAAAATTCCAAGAATTATTTATGCGAATGACTTCAGCTGCAATTGTCAAATAAAAGAAATTTATAATGTCAAATACTTGAGCGCAAAAAAATAAGTTATTAATGTATGCTTCAGAGATGATGTAGCTTTTTATTTCCTCTTTAGTGTATGTTTGTACGATGTGTATTAGTACATACCATTGTGAAAGTCAGAATTGCGAAATGATTAAGTATCGTGAGGAGAAATATATAATATAATAAAATTTTAAATATCTTTAGAGCATTTTAATTATGACCTTGCATTTATTAATATTATTTCATCAAGGTACAGTCTCTATAGTTCTCTAGCTCTTCCTTGTCTTTTTTAAAATTTATTTCTAATAAAAACTTGTTTTTCAAAAAATTCAAATTATTTTTTTAAAATATTTTTAGGAATAATATGTAGGCTATTTTTTTATTTATATGAAGCTATTATATATTATTAAGCATGCATTTGCAAATAAAAAAATTTCGATAAACTTATTAGAAAATATGAAATAAATAATAAAAAAAAACAGAGGGAAGGTTAAGCTTAAAAACAATTCTAAGTTTTTTGAAAATTATCTGAAAGCAAGGTTTTTTACAATAATATTTGAATATTGAGGAAAAAAGGTATGATCAAAACTACCAGAATATTGTAAAATTTACCGTGTTTCTGACTTTAAGGGAAGACCAATAATAGCTCGGTGATTGTTACCGAAGCGCTTTGGTAAGGCTTTCGGTAAAATTAACCATAAAATATAACTTTATAATGTGAGATAAATTTTGTTAAATGTAAAAAAAATTAATAATTTTATCATGATACCTTGGAGTATGGCATAAAAAATCATTTATTCGGTAAAATTCACTTTCTGTTACGTATTTTTTACTAAATGTGAGGTTCCCAGAAATTCCGGTTAACCGTTACAGTATGAATTGAAAAATACAAAAGGAATGGCTCAAATGCCTTACATTTTGGTTTAATTAACCAAAATTTGAGTTTCCTTTCACCAGTTTCATTAACACACTGTACGGTAATTTTAAAAGAAATTATTTTCTCCGTGAAAGAGTAATATTTGGATGTAGCATTTATTTAGAGATATTGATAAATAATTTAATTTATGTGAATAGTTTTTTAGTTGTCCAGTATACTGATGAGACGCATTTAGAAGTAGGGGTCAGCCGTACCCTGTTTGCTATCACTTGCTAACTCCCGGAACATATGTCACAGTTTTTTTCGAGTTGCTTTGCGATCCGTGCAAGTGCTCTAAATACTGAAATATGGCAGTCTATTATTCTAGTTTAATAAGAATTTTTCTAGAACATAGTCCAAACTGTCTGGAAGTTCGACAGCTAATTGTTGAAGCAAAAGATTGTAAACTAGTACATAAGTAACAGAAATAAGTTATTCACACAATAGTTATCACGATTGAAACAATCGATGAAAACAAAGATCAACTTTTATATTTGCAGAAATAAGAAACTAACAATATTTAAAATATTTAAAACAAAAGAATAATAGTAATAAATAACTCCCGCAATCGTTATACTAATCAATCAATATTTATATTTTATGCGTAAAATATTTAACTTGTCAAGTAAAATATTACAATTCTATTTGTCTTCGTTTTTTAAAATGAATTTTAATCAAGAAAACTTATTTAAAAATATTTTTTTTTTAAAAAATGTAATATTTTTACATAAATTAATATTTATTCTTTCCGGATAAGTACTTTACAGGAATATGGAATTTCTTCTAGATAACAGTATAATACAAGTAAACAATCTTATTGCGTACTTAGGAATTGTCGTGTTTTAAACAAATACGTTCTTAAATGTCTCTCTGTCGAAAAAATTCGAAGCTTTGACTTTATTAGTACCTCAAAACCCTTCAAATGAAATTTTAAATTTTTAAAATCATTCATTTTGCTTGAATGCCACATATTAGAAATTATGGCACATTTGCTTAACTTGTATCACAGGAGAACTTTCACTGTACCTTATATGCTATTCATTCCAAAATAAATAAATAATAAAAGAATATCTCTGATAAATAATTAATAAATAATTACATTATAATTACATTAGAGATCATACACAGAGGGATCATATAATAAAAAAACATTAGAAATCATGCACTGAGAAAAAAAGTATGGTCAAAACTACCAGATATGGTTAAATGGCAATCTTGTCTCTGACTCTGTGGGAACAACATAAAACTCGGAAATTTTAAGCAAAGCGCTATGGTAAATTTCCCAATAAAATATACTTTATTAATATGTGTTAAAATTTGGTAAATGTGGTGAAACTCGGTATTTTTATCATGATAGCTTAGAGCCGTGTTTTCCAATCGACTGCGGAACCCTAAATGAGCGCCATTCTTTTGATGGAACCCCCTGATTTAATGAACACATTTCATTAGTAATTGTGGACATATTGATTAATTAATGACTGTTAGATACTTTAAAAATATGTAATGATTTAAATTTCATTAATTAATTCAATTATTAATTAAGGTTGTTGTTGTCATAGGTCATTAAGGTAAGGGGTGCGATTGTTCTTGTTTTCTAGTTTATTAATAAATTAATTAATCATTAATTAAATTATTTGAAATTAAATTACTATTATTAATTAATTATTAGTTAAATTATTTAAAATTAAATTATTATTTTTTATTAATTATTATTTAAATTATTTAAAATTAAATTATTAATTAATTATTAATTAAATTTAAATTATTATTATTGATTAAGAATTTATTAAAATATTTAGTGAAAAAATGAAGTATGAAATTTTTTTATCATATCGTTCTTTCAATATTAATAATAAAATGGGATTTTATGATAAGCAGTTGAATTGATAGGTCAGGAGTGATATTTAATCAAGTTAATAATGGTTTCTATTAAAGTAAAAACGAAAAGGGAGGAAAACAAACTTTGAGAAGCGTTTTGTACTTCTTCACTGTCGAATTTGGTTATTTTTATTCGATGCGAAATGCTACTAAATTTTCTCGTAAATGCATATTTTTCATTAATTGTTCATTCATTGTTATTACAAAAAATATTGTTTTGAAATTCATTTCTTCACAAGCATTTCATTAAAATAATTCAATAAAACTAAAGGAATTATTAAATAAACAATGAATTATTAATTGAACAAGAATTTATTAATAGGTTCCGAAAACCCTATCTGGTAAGAAAAAACTTCTAACTTTCGGAAACCCTTTTACCATTTTACGGCACCCTAGGGTTTTACGTAACACAATTTGGGAACTGCTGCCTTAGAGCATTGCATGAAAAATATTTTTTTGGTTAAATTTACTCTTCAGTTTTGTAATTTTTACTAAATGTGTGGTAATAAGAACAATAACGGGGAAAACCAGAATTTGCTATAAATCACTGCCATATGAACGGAAAAATTAACAAATTAATGGTTTAAATACCTCATATTTTGGTTTCATTAACCAGAATTACATATTTTTTTTAATCTTATGAATGCCATTATTATACATTTCGGTAATTTTACCAGAATTTCTCTCTCATTGGGGAGATAATATTATAATGAATGATAAGATTTACCAGATTGCTTTGCCTTTCTAGAAGATTTCTTTTATTTATTTACCATATAAACTTGTTTTAAAGTAGAATTTATTTACTGTGTTTTATATAAATGCTACATGAGTTCTTGTGTTTAGGATATTTTTTTATTAATGTTAACAAAAAATATATTTTGAAAGAAAATTAACATAAAATTAACAATCATTTAAATAATTAAAAATTATGAATCGAGTAAAAACAATTTTAATGGAAAAGAATAATTTTTTTTCTCAAAAATGTTAATATTATATAGTTTGGTAATTTTACCAGATTTTTTTTTTCTCTTCGTAAAGATTAGATTGCCATGAAAGATAACAATTACCAGATTACATTGCCTTTTTAAGAGATTTCTTTTATTTATTTATCATATAAACTTGTTTTAAAGTTGCAGATTTTAAATGTTATTAGCATACAGTTCGGTAATCTTGGCAGAATTTTTTTTTCTCTTTGTAGATATAATATTATCATGAAAGATAATATTTACCAGATTGCGTTACCTTTTTTTCGAGATTTCTCGTACTTATTTATCATATAAACTTATTTTAAAGTTGCATTTCTTTACTGCATTTTATATACATGTTAAATGTGCTTCTTGCGTTTAGGACATTTCTTTTGATTATTCTTAGAAAAAATGATACTTTGAAAGAAAACTAAGATAAAATTGAAAATTATTTAATTAATTAAAAATTACAAACCAAGTAAAAACAATTTAAACGGAAATATCATACATTTTAAGCGTTCATAAATATAACTAAATATTAAAAAATAAGAAAGGTAATTTTTTAAGCTCAAAAGATCCAAGGGTCCTCTTAAACTGAAATAAGTTTTAAAAATGAGTGAATTTATGAATATTAAATAAAAGTAAATGAATACATAGGCAGTCATACCTGTTGGCAAGCTAAGCGATCTGCACCTTTCGTATTTATTAAAGTGTTATCTAAATCAAAAAGAATGGTAGTAACATTTTGAAACTTGTTTAGACCCATTTTTTTTGACCCGTAACCACGCTAATTGAAAACGGTTTTAAGTCTGACGGTTGAATTATCACGCAGTCGCAGATCTCAACTAAATTTCAGAGTGATTTCGTCACAGACGGCAAGTTTATCTTAGGAAAGAGGTTTTTATGACGTCATGTTAAACATCACTGCACCTGAAACGTCAAGGAGGAAAAGGTTTAAGTCCTCCTAAATTCGGATATCTTCACCCCCCCCTTCTCTCCCTTCTTCTAATCTTAATCAAAATTATAAGTTTCTTTTAATCCGCTTTAATAAAATACTGCACTTTAAGACCAAGTCACCAATTAGAATATTAATGGATATTTAATCAATGGTTAAAATCAGTCAATCATAAAATTTTTTGATTACGTTACAAAATTTAAGTATTTCACAATGTACTGCAATACCGTGAAAATGAAAGCAAAATAAGATAGCGATAATGTTATTATAAGATGATGCAAAAAGTTGTATGGTTAAATCATATTTCTGTTTAGTGCCGGATGTTATCAGAATTTCAATATCGCAATGCAATCTCTGTAAATATCAATATTTTACAATACAAATTATCTCGATATTGCAATTTAATTAGTTTGGTAATATTTTTACATCGTTAAATGAATGATCATTGCCTAGACAAAATTTATCAACTCTCGCGAAAATATACCAAAGTTTAAAATAATGCTCGCGTTTGGGCATTTAGTATTTTTGTATGTCTATTACCACCTTATATTGGATAGTTATCATAAGATATGCTATATTCATGATGTGTCATAAGAGTAATTTTTTAATTATCGTTATAGCGATTAAAATTTTTTTTTCACGATTCTAATAGTTCCGATATAAACTTGGTATTTTGGCTACATCACGAAACTAATTGTTAAAATACCGTTATCGCAATGCTTAAAAACAATCAATATTTCACGATATTTCTATATTCCAGTTTTATTTGTGATAAATACGATGGCGGCAAAGCTCGGTTTCATGGAGAAAGTAACCATTCTTCAATACGCAATAAATATTAATGAATAAACTAAAACTTTTCCTATAACTAAAACATCCATAAAAAATAATAAAATAAGTACATTACCACAGAAGTTTGCCTCTTGTGCAATCTGGTCCTTTCATTCGAACAATTGCTATAAATTAATGGATTTGGTGCAAGAGTAAGGTAAATCCAGATTCGAAAATTGTTTGTTGGAGCAAAGAAAAATTAAAGAAGAGAATTAGCTGCAGTTTTTCCTTACTATTGACCACGTGAGATTGAACTGTTGTTTTTTACATTTTTCTTCGGCTCATACACTAATTGTAACAGCTATATTGTTTAAGAAATAGTAACAAAAATTGTTTGAAAAAATGTATGTTGTTTAAAAAAATATTTTAAAATATTGTTTAAAAATTACGTTAATTTGACTTTGCTCTTTCACCAAGCTCCTCTATGTATTTTTTATTGCACATTTAAATAGTTCTAGTGTTTTTAGTAATAGTTTCAGGTGTGTAGATAAAATGTATACATATTTCTTGTTCTTAATTAAAATGTGTAAGCAGTTTATAATTTTAGACTCTTTAAATTGCATCCCTGCAATTTATAAAAAATATTACTAATAAACACTTTTAATAAGCACCTATTTTCTTTAAATGAAATGTTCCTTAATACTGTTCCATTATCTTTTCTATAAATGTAATAACTCTCTGAAAAATTTGTTTAACGTTCAGCCAGGAAATTCATATCTCGAACAATAATATGGGGAAAATGTAAAGTATCTTTATTAAAGTGATAAACTGAACTGCAGTCAAACCCCGTTATAATGAACCTTCGAAGGACCGAAATTTCGGTTCGCTATAACCGGGAGTTCACTATATCCGTACTGCAAACAATTTTAACTAATTTTGCCGAACTGCTCCCTTTTATTACACATTATTTAAATAAATTACCAATAAAAAAATAATGAAAATGAATAAACAATATGTAGTAAAAAAATGTGTTAACTTTTATTTCTTATTACTCTTCGTCTTGCGTACGAAAAATTTAGGAATGACACCTTTATTTAGGGATAGGAACCTGAGATAGAAAAAGCAAACAAGAAAAAATGCTTATGGCTACATTCCACTTAATATATGGAAGACAAAATAAAGTTCATAATAACCAATTTGCTCTCCTCTTTTGGTTCACTATAGCCACAAGAAATAATATATATGTGTACAGCAAGGCACGGGAGCGAACATTTCGTTCACTATATCTGGGATTTCACTATAAATCAGGTTCACTATAGCGAGATTTGACGGTATATATCAGTCCACAAGGAACCTTACTATCACATAACCAATCTTAAGTATGATAAAATCGCTCAACATAGCAGAATGTTAATATAGCAGAAAATTTTATATAATACGATATCATGGTACAATACGTTCCAAACTTTTTAACAAGGAATAACTTATAAGCCTTTAATGAAAAATTCAATCTTTTTTTTTTAGATTAGCTGACTTCTGTCATGAGTTGTCCAATTCATGCCACGATTCATTAAATTGTGTCCTAGATCGAGTAGTTCGATTTGGCACCAACCACAAGCGAAGTGCCTTTGTCAATTAGTGTATTTCTAGAAAACCCTTTTTAGTTCGAAGTTGTTAGACATTTTAGATGAGAATCATTTTGATTGGTGACGTACCTCACTCGTTGATATAACTATCATCACTATGATATTTCATATGAAAATAGTAAAATTATTCGTAATTTTTGGAAATATTCACGTACAGTTTGTGAAGAAAAATAGCTTTTCTTTTTTTTCAACTTCCGAAATTTAAGTATATTCTCAAGAAAACAAAGATGCAGTTTGTAAAGGATAGTGAAAAATATTTTAATGCATAGTTAAAAAAAAAAAGAATGTTATTTCAGAAAACTGGAGGAATAAAGTTGAAAAAAAGCAAAATTTATAAACATGCTCTAATATATTATAATTCCAGTATAATATAATCCTGATGTAGGCAAGAAGGTCATAGATATTTAGGCGCCACTGTTTCGAGACCAGCCACATGGTAATGACCACGTGATCGGTATTGTGCAAATTCCAACTTTACTTCTGAACCAGATGGTGTAACCATCTGATGGATGGTCTGTTAAATAATATGAACAAGCAACAAGATTAAAACAAGACCTTTAAAGATTAAATCTCGAGTAGATTTCTCACAACTTTTGGAAAAATAGTCGGACTTCTATTTAACAAACTTCCATTTTGCGATTTTTTTCGAGGGACCAAGAACAGTTTGAAACTTTCTTCGCACAATAACTTCCTAATAGCGAAGTGAATTTTCTATTAAACGAACTTTATTTTGAGGTCCACCTTCCCTCAGAGATTTTCAAAACTTTTTAACGCATTTTATGGTGGAAATGACGTTGAGTTGATTTTAGAAGCCATTTAACTTTTAAAGAAAGCAGTAAAATCCCTTTCCCTTTTTGTCTGCATTTCAAACGAAAAACTCAGACACAATTAACGGATTTTATCAGTAACCATAAAACTTAAGAACGTATGTGGTAATGTATATTTAAAATTACTTTTATAATAAATGCAGCATTAATTTTTTACATAAATTTAGCTTCTTTTATTTGAAAATGTATGTAGCATGATAGTGTAACACTGGATAATGTTTTGCTCCTTGCTTTCCATACGCATCTCTTTCATGGTTAAGATTTATAAAATAAATAGTAGATACTAGTTTACAAGAAAAATGTGTATATATTGCTATTTTAATTACGTCAAGCGTTTATGAAATTTATAACCTGTTTCGTGTTGTTTAAGTGCTTCAAAAGGTGATTTTCCATATAATGAACTTATTATCAAGATTTAGCGACTTTGTTAAATAAAGGTCTGAGACTGTATTCTTGACATTTTCATGAAAATGCTTTCGTCCTTTACACTCGACAATCGTAGTCCACTTTTACGAAACAAGAAAAAAAGGTTGTATTGGGCAGAAAAAAACATATATTTATGCATTGTATCAGGATGTTATTAAGATGTTTAGATGAATAAATTTGCAAAAAGAACAATTTATCAACATGCCTTGATATAGTAAAGTACTATTACTAAAACAAACAGTTATCAACCGAAAATTGGATGTTAATACTTCTTTAGTTTTGAGAAAAGCAACATGATGGGGGCAATGTTTGGACCACTTTAACTTCCAGATAAGCTGGCACCCTTCTATCTGGAAATGGGTCCTTATCCTCCTGATTCCTAAACTCTTACTAATGATAAGATTAGTAATAGTAAGATTTATTATCTAAGATTAATAATCTAAGATATAAGATTAATAATCTTACTCACTTTATAAATCTTACTTAGAAATCTTCTAAATCTACTCTTAATCTTGTCAATCTTTACTAAAAAATATATTTCTCTTAAAAAAGTTCATAAATGCATTAATTTCTTTTTAAAAAGTAATAATTAAATGTTTTTTACGTTTTTTTTTTTACATATTTTAAGATATATAGATTGATTAGATAGTATAATAAAATTATATTATCTGTACTGTGAGGTAGCATAATTGAAACAAAATCCACCGGACTCAATAATAAAATATTTATACGAAATAACACTGTAAGATTATTTGTCTCAAATTTCCTACCTTCCCTATTATTTTTCCTTGTAATTAAAACTTTTGACTAACAAGGTTAAAACCAAGTATTTATTATTCAAAAGTTGTCTAATATATTGAACTCTGGATCTCTGGAGAATATTGGAGTCGAAACAAGTTTTTGCGAATCAATATCCTAAGTTGATAAATTTTCGCTTGCATAAATTCTTGAGGAGAGAAATTTAGCCCTCGAGAAATCGTATTTGGACAAAATCTCAACAAATTCAAACATTGAACACTAAATTACTAATTACTTGTATTTTATACTAGTGATTTCGAATTGTCGGTAAGTGATTCTCAAGTAAGTGAAAAAAGAAAACAAAATAATAAGACAGTACTGTGATTCTCAAATGAGTGAAAATAAATATAAAAATATAAAAGAGTGAGAAAAACTATAAAAGAATTAGTCGCTATTGTAGTATATTTTACAGTATATTTTAATCTAATTAATAACTACCTTTACAATGGAAAATA